GGCAGAGAAGCACAAAAAATTTGTCACTTTGTTTAGCTACCTTATCACATCTAGATCTTATCACAGAAGTTGAGACCGAGTATTTCCTAAAAATTGCCAAACCCGCTGAGGCAAAACCATGAGCTCCGAATTTTGGCGATTATTTGAGGGACCACAAAAGCAAGTGGTTTGCAAAAATGACTGTTGTTATTCAATTTTTTTACATTTATCCAAGATAAAAAATAGCGGTAGATGGTGCTGGATGAGGAACATCTTGGTGACCCACTCCAGCTCAACGCTTTTTCAATATTATGTTCGATTTCAGAGCTAATCTCGTAGTCAATTTGGGCACGTCAACTCAAGAGTCACCTGCATCTGACATTCGCAACGGCATCGCATGCAAAAAGTTACCAATGCCTTTACTTGGAAATGATTTTGGAAAGGTTTATAGGCTATAATTTTAGAAGCAGAAACAGGGAAGAATTTACAACTTCTTCTCAAAATCTTTTTGCCAAAAGCGGATTTTCGCGTGCTCTCCTCTATCGGGTATCTTTTCTTTTCGGGACAATTATCCGTGCCCCGGAAACTCGCAGGTAGCATAACTACATCGATCGCTAAGGAAACAAATGTAGTATTATGTCATGCAGCTTGCATTAATAAATCGTCTCGCACTACACGAAAAAAACTACGGGTAAACATCTGTTTTTACTCTACCTGCAGCAACGATGATATAAGGATCTTTGACTAGCTGCTTTATCGTCGAACCTTCCGGTTCACCTCGGTCTACTTTCGGCTGGAGTACAATAAATTGCAAGGCTGAAAAATGAACACATTTTTCTGGGTGCTAGAAGCTGAAGAATTTTGTGCCTACATCCATCGAAAAGAGCTAGGAGAGCAAGAAGTATAAACGGTAGCTCCTTTCCCGCCCATTGGTACAGTACTCCTCCGTACGGTGGCCCTACCAAGACCCCTAGGGCTATACCGCCCAGAGCAATTCCCATTGCACTTCCTCGCTCAGCGTCATCCGGGTAAGCTTGGGCTAACATACCCATACCTGAGAAAAAAGACTTCCACAATTATGATACCCATACAATTATTTCTCAACCCAAAGAAAACTTACCGGAAGTGCTGGAACAAGCAGAACCCACGCCTTGCATGGCCCTTGCAAACCATAGGGTCCCATAAGATGTTCCAAATGCGAAAAGTACCGTCGATAGAAACATTATAACAAATCCTGCGAACATGGGCAGTGTGTAGCCAATTCTGAAAAATTCCCAGCTCTATCCGTTTACAAGTTACGTTCTAGCTGACTTATTTGTTAGTGGTCCTATCCATGGATTCGTGATTAGTTGAACTAAAGCCTTTGAGCCAAACATTATTCCAACCAGGACATTTTCCTTCGCTAGTATATCATGTCTTTCGGTTTTTTGAAACGTGTGAGTGGTTGGTTCAGGTGGAGTTGGCCGCATTCGAGGCCTGAACAAAGGTAATCATAGCTTCTAGAGCATGAATATACCCTAAATAATTTTCTTAACTCTCGCTATAGGGAACTGGCTGCTTTCGGGAAATTTCCTTGTTTCTCTGCTTCGCTTTTTTCCGGCTTTTCTCAGGTTTCCTCTGAATTGCCAGTGGATTCTCTTCCCATGGAATATCTTCTCCTGTACTACCAGGCATAGGCATATCCCACGCATCGTCGTCCCAAACTATCTGAAAAAATTTTTGCTTAGTAAAAATATCTAGATCAAAAAGTAGATCACACCTGTCTCTTCTCAATAGCATGGTCTTCAACTGGCTTGTTGTACAGAAGTTGATCGGTCGTGTTTGGATGCGAAATTCTCAGTAAATATTCGGGAATTATGGGCACTGAAGAGTTAGATCATGACGAAAAGGGAAAAGCTTTCAGTAAATATTACTCACCGACTGTTGTTAGCAACATATTATCCAAAAATAATGCAATATAGACTATAAGAAGAAGAACCTTCCTATTATTTCTGTAGTGGTTGATGGTGTCATTCAAAGTCATTCTAAAACAGCTATGGATAACCCTTTTTGCAAAGTTGATAAGTATGCTCCGAATTTTACGAGTACTGTAGCAGAATTACTGTACTCAGATACTGTAAACAAATGGCGAGAAGTATTCAGTCTGAAAATTACAGGACTGCAGAACTAGAATGAATTCGAAAGATTTCTAGACATATTATAGCAGACATTATGAGCAACAGCAATGCAATTTTTGGATGATGTAGGCGGAGCGCTAGGCACTTACTCTCAGAATGCGAAAGGTTCGCCGATAATGTGAGATGAACCAAGCTTCTGAATATCTAATATCAAA